GATATCAGATTGTTCTTGGAACTGTTTTTTGGCAGAAAAGTGCAGAACTTTTTTGAGTGCAGAATCATGAAGTTGCCTGAAAGATGGCAAAATGTAGTTGAACAAAATGGACAATATGTTTTTTAATGCAGTTTTTGTTTGCCATGAGAAATTCACAGTTACTTTTTGGCCAACCCAATATATATAATGGAAACGTGAGGCACTAGCCACCTTGCAGTTTTTGTTTCCCATTAAAAATTTGCCTTTCATTTACCCAGAAGAAAACCCCACAGCTACTTTTTGGTCAACCTAGAAAGATTCTGAATGAAATCTGGTCCAATGGAAACTGACATTCATCAGGCTTATCCTTTAGAAAAATAATAATATATACGTTTTACTTAAAGCATATACTGTCTGGATGATTCTTTCCTTATCTTCCCTGGAAATTATATTTTCTCTCTGTTTCTCCCTTTGGCTGATGGCATTATTTGGAAATTGTTGCGTTATTTAAACGGTTTCCTAATAAATTAGTTAATTTATTTTTCTCTGTTTTTTTCATCTCAGAACCCTCTGGTATCTTTGTGAAAAGCATTACAAAAGGTAGTGCTGTTGAACATGATGGCAGAATCCATGTAGGGGATCAAATTATAGTTGTAAGTAAACACAGAAAGTGAAACACTTGTTTGCAAAACTCTGCTTTTTAAATTGTAAATCAATTCTTATATAATACTTGTTGAAACCATTTAGGATTGGTATTGAGATGATAAATCCTTGTTTTGACTGAGTGGTCAATCACATTATCTTTCTGATTATGCTACCTTTGTGTAACTTGTGTTTCTTAAGGAAATCTGTGCTGTATGCGTGTATCTTAGAGTAGGAGCTTTGAACTGCTTAGTAAAGGCAAGATTTCAAGGTTTGATTCAAATTAAGCAGCTGTTATCAAAATTATTTTTAAGAGTATGTCATTAACGTTTTAGATGCTCAGAGAAAGAAGAAAATATTTTTGTCTATAAAATATTAGTTGCGTGATGAAAATCAAGTGATAAATGCAGGAACTGAGATTTTGTGGCTGTCATAATTCTGGCCTAGCATTTGTGGGCAGGCAGCACTAAGAACAAGTTGTGGTCTCTCTTCAAGTATAAATGTGCCTGCATGTTTGTATATAAGAGCATATATGGTTTTTATAATGATTTAAATGCTGTCTACAAATGGCTGAAATGAATTATTCTAGAGTTTGACTTCTTCTACTGCGAGTTCAAAAGATTTGAGTAACATCAGACAAAAGAATAATGAACATTTTTAAATTTGGTTTGCTTAAGTGTGAAGAAAAAAATAAATAACTTCAGCTCATTTTTAACTACTTCCTATTTAGAAGAGCACCAGAGTTGGAAGAAGTTCAGAGAAGGGCAACAAAATTATTAAGAGACCTGGGGGAGCCATCCTTCATGCAGCAGCAATTAAAATTATGGAATATGTGTGTTGTATAGATAGACTGAAACAACTGCAAGAGTCAGGGAGTATAGTATTGTTAGAAATACTTCAGAAATTAAAGGTGCTGTGGTATGAGACAGAGAAAGAATAGGATAATACGGAGTTTGCAGGGAGAAAGAGTATAAAAATAACATGTACCAGGGACAATGGGATGAAATTAAGCTATACCAGAATCTTGAGTTTCAGGAAAAGCAAACAAACAAGCAAATTAATGAGATAATGGGATAACTTCAAACAGAAGAGGCCAAAGTCTTGTTCTTTAAAATATTAAAATTATGGACCAGAGATAACATCTGTCTGTCTGGACTGTACTTGACTGGAAAATTGAACTTCAGTGGTGTTTAGTAGTAGGCTTCACTGAGGTGTCTGAGGTTACTTGGCCTTAGAACAGTTGTGCTCTGTAGTGTTTCTTACCACGGTGGACAGATGGGCCTCTCCTCACCTTCCCCATCTCAGCTCTCCTAGCTGTGTCTATGTTGATTTATTTACCCAGCATTTTCTTGGAGGTGGGGATGGCTGGAGCAGTTGAGCAGGCAGGCTCCAGAGCATACTTTGCACAGTACATGCTGTGTCCTCTCGCACCTTGCATCTGCATGTGCCTGCTGTGGTGGGCACCCAAAGCACTTCTCTCCACTTTGCTGTGATACTGGTTGTTACCTGGCTGTGTGGTACTTCAGTGAAACTGCTTAGTGTATCCAGTGTCATTAAATCATCCACGTTTTTGTTTTTGTCTCTCTGCTTGCTTTGTGCTTAGGCTAACAAATGCTGAGAGCTCAGCATATTATTTTATTCCTGGGCATCTTTTTGTGGTGGTGTCTTGTGGGCTGATAAGGTGCTTAATCCTGCAGGTGGATGGAACAAATCTTCAAGGTTTTACCAACCAGCAAGCAGTGGACGTTTTGCGGCACACGGGACAAACAGTTCGACTCACTTTGATCAGAAGAGGGCTTAAGCAGGAAAATCATATTCAGCCCCAGGAAGACTTCACTGCTGCTGTTGAAAAGGACTTACTGTTCCAAACAATGGATAGTAGCACAGCCAAAGGTAATTAAAACTGGCTTTGCTTTAAAGTTGACTTGAAACATTTTTCTTATCAATTGCAAACCTGAAAAAAATGGGCCAGATTCATTCTGAGTGGCTATTACTGGTGACAGAGCTGCTTGCTGTATGTGAGGGGAGAATTTGGTCCTCTGTGGTTTGATTAGTCTTTTAGACACTGTGTTCTTATTTCCTACATTTTCGAAGTGAGTATTGAAAGCTCTGTGCTGTATTGCACTTCTGCCTGAATTGCTTCAAGACTTTGATCCTGAAAATCTTCAGATGGTAAGAAGGCAGTGAATGTTTTATTTGTGCTCAGGAATGAGAGCTGCATTCAAGAGCAAGCAAAGAGATACCCTCCACAATGAATTCAATTCAATTCCTTTCGCTTTTGTGTGTCCATGTCACAAGCTCAAGGCAGGAGAGGAGTGGCCTATATCTAGAGGTTATTAATACGCTGATGGGGCATTAACTATATTTGTGTACGAAGTTCAGAAGCCAATGACCAATATTAATTTTGCTACTGATGGGATAAGATTAATGAAGCTCAGTCTTTCATTGTGCACATCTTGAAGTTTATGTGCCACATCTTGGAAGTCAGTGTGTTTGAACAAAGTGTCTACACAGAGGCTGGATACACAAACATTTTTTTCAGCTACTTGTGTTTTAGGTTAATGTAAGCAGGAGTATATTAAAATTCAATGATTGAGGCACAATCCCCACCTTACACAAGATTTTGAAAGACCCAGTAGTATGTTATCTGTATGGCATCCTCTCATTCCTATTTTTAGCAAAAATTATGGAGGAAATGCTCAGAAAGTGCTGTTTCTCCAGCCTAGAGGTGTTCAAGATAGGTGATACCCAGCAACATACCTAACAACTCTGTGGTAGGAGAGACTTTCTGCAAATGAAAAGCCTGTCAAGTATACAGGTCTCCAAGTCTGCAGCATTTTTGTTTTTCAGTGTCAGCTTCCTGAGTTGCACAAAGGAAAGTAGAGAAAGGGGGAAAAAAAGGTAATACAAGGTTGCTAAAGAATGTTAAGATTTATATGTTTTTCTAGTAACTTTTCATTCAATCATAGGGATGCAGCTACTGTTAGTTGTTCTTTTTTTTTTTTCCTGAAAAATTCACTGGAGAAGGCAAAACATTAACAGAAGACGAAATGTCTTTGAAACATGGCATTTCTTTTCGGCCTCTTATGCCAGATTCCATTTGCCAAATACAGATCCTCTGAAGTCCAGTGGAAGTGAGAGTCTGTGAACTTGATGAATATTACAACACATAAAATAGCTGAAAAGGCTGCTGCTTCTTTTTTCCAGGTAACTATGAAACAGAACAGGCATTACCATCCCTGCCATGCAGTGTCAGCATGGTGAATATTGGAGAGGACATGAAACAACAAGAAACAGGTTTGCAGTGTTTAATAGTGCTTTATTCTGTGAAAATGCACTTGGGTGTGGTTACACAGAGATCAGGTGTTTTTATCTCCTGTGTGCTGTGTGGCTGAAGCATGGCTGGAAAGTACTGTTGAGGGCTGCAGAATCATTGAGTACTGTATGTCTCTGAAAATAATTTTGTGTCAAAGATGTCACATGAAGCAGTATGCTTTTTGCTACATGTTCAGCCCTCTTTTTAGTCTGTTTTTTTATTTCTACTCTCTTCAGTTATGTATTAAACTTTTTTCCTTCTCGTTCTCCACCAGCTTTCTAGCTGCCCAACTGCAGTTCTAAGACTTCTGCCTTTTTTGATACTTCCTTTTCACAAATTCCTGTGCTTGCCTTCTGTTCAATTTCTGTTCTCTGACAGTGTTTGAAATTTGGTCAATTCTAATGCATTGACACACTCTGATGTTTCCCATACTGTCTGTGGAAATTCTTAGTTTCTAACGGGTATTTTCCTTTCCTTCTTGAGATGTTAGGGCATTGTGCTGCATTTCAGAAGTCCTATGTGATTATATGTTTTCCAGATTGAGTCAGCACTTGATGTGTTTTGTAGCATTTTCCTGCTTCCGGAAGTAGAGGAGAACTGAAAAGCAGCACCTTTGAGTTCTGTAATATCTATCTTTTCATAACTCATGCTTTCCATTATCCTGAATAGCTGAGGAATTTGTTTTTAACACCTTTCCTTCAGATACTTGCAGGGTCTCTGCTCTGGGGAAAGTATTGTCGCGTTGGAAGGCCACACAACACCTGACCTCATTTTTAGTAATGTTTCTGAGCAGTGACTAGATTGAAAAGAATTTCTGTTAGTCTGTCCCTGGGAGAGAGGTTAATAGAGAGTGTCTGTCCATCAATTAGTGGCCAGCCTATCTTTAAACAGCAACAGAGTCGCTAAATTCTTACTGAAGGTCAGTGGGAGTTGGGAACTTAATCTTGTAATGAAGATTCTAGTCTTCATCTATGATGAGCATTCAGATCTGAAGAATTTATTTTGATACTGTACCATGGACCTTGGATATGTAGGCTCCTGTTAAATCTGCTGTGTTTGCTGACTTTTAACTAAATACTGCTTTTTATTGTTTCATGCCCTAGAATCTATGAACAGTGTGAGTGAAGGGAAAATGAGCAGAAAGCATTTTTCTGCTTTTTCAGCCTGCAGATAAACTTTCAATCAAGTTAAGAGTTGCTGCAGTTTCCTGCCTAGTCTGTCATTGTATTTTTCACAGAATCGTTGCTTTTGTCCCCTCCTTCCCTTCCAATCTGATGTCTCTTCAGCTATTAGATTATTTCTCATTGTATGTGCCTGTGAACACAAAAAAAAAAAAAAGGCAAAAAAAAAAAAAGCTAGGGCTTCAGTTCTATCGCTGCCTTCTGGGGTATCACATATATAGGTATTTTGGCCATCCTCCTGAATCAGTCTGATTAGCCTATATGCAGTCTGGTTTAACTAATTCCCAGGGCATGCATTTAACTTTTTAATTTGCTTTGTGTCCATTATATTGTAAAATTGCATTAAATTTACTCAACACTGAGTCTAGTTTAAATTTGTGTTCATTCTTCTCAGCCATTCACATAAAACTTTTTCATTGAATTTTGTGTCTTTGAAAATCCACAGTTATGGAGGAGTGGTGTCTAATATCATTTTGCAAGTTTTCCCTCTGATAAACCCATGTTGGTGAGACAAAACATGTCAAGTTTTTAGTCATATTTATGAGACTACTGGTGTCATGGGCCTGATTGTGTAGTTTTGCAAGGTCAATATACTTCTATCAGTTACAGGAACAGACAGGACATTTTACTTTTTGTGACAGTAATCTCAGACATAACTTTTAGATTTCCAGCTAACTACCACAGAAGAAGCAGCTACGAAGGCAAAGTGGCAAAGGATTATGGGTTCGAATTGTGAAATAGTGGTAGGTAAACTTTGATTTCTATTTCTAAATGCCTTTTGATCTGTCCACCTATTACATTGCTAACATACAGACACAAATGCTTGTATTGAATTTGTTCCTTTATTTATAAATATCATATATATGCTCCTTAATCTGTTGAGGTTATTTTGTTTATAAAATTTTAATGTAGATAAATATTTTTCTGTATTGATTTTAGCAAAATAATCACAGGCTTCTTAGATTACTGTGCCTGTGAGTATTGTTCCACAGATTTCCTAGCTTCAAAAGGATAAATATGTATTAGAGGAAAAAGTAATATTTAAGGTAAACTTCTAAGCTCCCTTCATTAGCCAGAACTTGAAGCTAATATTTGAAACATCCTACCCATTCTGCATACTGAAAAGATTGTTTGATGTAATTATCTAAATAATGCACAGGACATTTACTGTAGATACATTTGAAAAGCAGTATCTGAGTTTAGGACTTTATTTCAAAATTATATGCCAGAGCTGTAGTCTCTGCAAGAGCATGTATTATTAAATATATTGTTGTCATATACAGTTCCCTCTTGTTTATGCTGAAGTGGTATGGGATCAAAGTTTCAGTTTTTACCTGTCTCCTAATCCAAGCATTTTTCACATTTTTACACAAGTGCAATGCAGAGCCACTTCCCCACCTGGCATAGATCGTATTGGATTGAGCTGTGTTTCAGTTTCTGTGCTTAAGGAGCTTTTCTTCTTGTTCTTGCGTAAAAGTCTGAAGTACCACACAAAGATAGGTAAAAGAGTAGGCCTGTGATGATAACTTGCTGTCCACGTGCATGGGGCACCATAGTCATGTTACTGCAGACACTGTGCTGTTTTGTGATTGTGTAACTCAGTAAACATGGTCTGCAGATTTTAGTTTTTATCTGGTATTTGATTTTCCCTATGAATACCTTTCATCTTATTGGGAAATTGAAGTTGGATTCTTTCTGTTAAACTGCAGTTATTATTTCCCTCAGTGTTGTTGAAAAACCAAAGCTAGTAACTTAGGATGCTTTCGCAGCTGAAAAGTCTGCATTATACATGACAATATTTCTGTTTTCTCACTGCTGGAATATTGACCTCATTCTGTGTAAACTGAAACAGAACATAACAAGTACAGCCATAAATACATTAAAAGTAATTATTTCTTAATCCTGTTTTAGGTGGCTGTAGTTAACAAATTTAGTGAAAGCAGTGGGTTAGGGATAAGCCTTGAAGCTACAGTGGGACATCATTTCATCAGATCTATCTTACCGGAGGGGCCAGTTGGACGAAGTGGCAAGCTGTTCAGTGGAGATGAGCTGCTGGAAGTAAGAGAAAAATACTATTTCATCTTAGTCTGCATTCAGTGACATTTTTGAGCAGTTGCTTGCTTTTCACAGGTTATGACTTTGGAAATGTAGCATATCCAACTGCATACCAGCCATAATGAGAAGTGCTTGAGCAGTTACTTCATATGTACTTACGCATTTTTATGGGAATGCATAGACTTACATGCATTTCTCAGCTGATAGCTGATTTTTCAGATATGGTTCAAGGTCACCAGAAAAGAATACCTAGCAAAAGCATTAAGATTTGATTGGAATATCGCTACAGAGTGAGGGTTATTTTCTTAGAATTAAGATGTCAGTTTACTTTCCAAGAATACAAGAAATACGAAGTGACAGAATATGTGGTGTTTGTTGAGAGTCATCATGCAGTTTATGAGACTGTTCAGCTCAAGACTCACCTTGGTGCTGATTCTGAGCACCAAATTAAGTGGAAATTAAGGGTTGACAGTGTCCATAAGCATGTTTGGATTTGTTTTAGTTTTGTTTTTTTTAATTCAGGTGATTAATGGGTTGGTGATTTTTTCACCGATTTTTGTTCATTCTAAACACTATGTATTCTTCTTTTATTGAGGTGAATGAGATCTCTTTGCTTGGAGAAAACCACAAGGATGTCGTCAATATCCTGAAAGAGCTGCCTATTAAGGTGACAATGGTGTGCTGCCGTCCAGTAGCTCCCCCCATCACTCACCCAGAAGAACTGGAGAGTCTAAGTCTATCTGAGATTCAGCTCACAGAAAAGGTATCTTGTCTTTTAAAAAATCATGAGAAGACGGTCGTTTCCTTGAGAAAAAACATTTAAAGTTCTTGTACAAGAAGAGAGATATGTTTTAATATTTTCGGACTTGGAACCAGATAAATAGAAAAAGGCAAGTTATGTTCATCGACTATACTTTAGGCCAACCAGAGGATGTCAGTCCTGGTGGGACATGGGCAGAAATGTTCTGGGATGCAGGTTTATCTACCCAAGTACTTACCTTCTGTTCTGCAGGTGGGCTGTGGGGTATGGCAAACTGAACTGTGTGTTCTTTAGAATCTGCATCTAGTTTTGAACTTTGCTTTCTGGGTTTGTGTTGTGCAGAACTGTGTGTGTGTTCACTGGCAGACACACTTCTGTCACTCATAAATGAAAAGCTCTGGGCAGCCTGATGTACTAAATATGTAGGAATGGTGTATACAGTATACAGAGCAATAGCATTTATATGGAAAGACATACAGTTAATTCTGAGTTCTAGGCAAGGCACCAAGCTCAGCTTATTGTTGCTGAGCTTTTCTATGAAACCAGGAGAAGAGAAAAACATACATGCATGTGTATATATGTGTGTATCTGTTTTCTTTTTCTAAATGGTCTGACTCCTGTCAGTGCTACTATGTTTAGATCAAGGCATATTCTTCGACATACCATTTAATAACACATATTTCTTGTATATTTGAATACATGTACTAATGAAGTTTTCTGAGGTTTTTAGTTTGACAGAAATTCCATTTTGTAAATATTTTTTCTAGTGAGTATTTTCATATACTTACAGCATAGCTATTTTGTTTCCTGGATATGTGAATTCTGTGCTAGGTTTATCAGTTATTTGTTAACTCTGCTGATTGCTTTCACTTTCCTTGTTTTTAGAGAAACATCACTTAGTTTTTATCTCCTTAGTAAGCAAAGTTTTGTCTCTGCAGATTCACACACATTTACATTCTATTGGTGAACATTCACTGTTTTGGTCAGGCTCACATAAAACTTGGATTCATTGGCTCCTCGGACACAGAGGGAACAGCTTTGGAAATGACTGATGAACATCAGAGTATGGAAGAAGTGCAAAGCTCATCTTTAGCGATGTGGGAAACAGAAGTACAGCACATTGAGCTGGAGAAAGGGAGTTTAGGACTTGGATTTAGCATATTGGACTACCAGGTAAGTTCTGCACTTCAGTAGAGGACAAATTACTTTGTGTTGTTTGGATCTTACATTATGATCTAAATGCTTATTTTAAGGGTAAATAGCAGTGGAAACCAAGCAATACAGTAAAGCTAAATGGATGTCAGTACTGGTAGGCATCCCACTAGCTACAGAGGAGTAAGTATTCCTCTTACTGTATTAAGACTGCAGGTTCTAATAATAATTGTAATGCTGGTCCAGAAAAAGAGATAATCCATAATATACTAGAGTCTTCAGAAAGCTCATGTGCTAGTGCCTCAGGGGCAATGAATGATGTAGTCAGAATATTCAGGCATTTAGTCATGTATTTTGCACCTGCAGTGAGGTACTTAGGGCAAGATCCAATAAAGGACTTAGGTGCTTAATGCAGGATTTACTAAAATCCAGAACTGCAATTCTGAAATCTCTTGCTTAGCTGCTGTCTATCTGGGACGTGCCTAGACACCCCCATTCATTTTGTGTTTGACTTCAGAATTCCTGGGTATCTCAAGCTGTGATTCTTGGTGTGTCCTCATGAACAGCTCAGTGCCTGTCTCCTGCCTGTGCTTGGTCAGGATCCCAGAAGAAGTGTTCCTCCTGTTCCCACTTGTCATAGTGGATAATATTTGATCTGCTCACCTAGCATGTTGTCTTATCAGTCACAGCAGAAACCCAAAGAAACATATCGCTCCCTGCTGTGAGGAAAATAACTCTATCCCAGCAAAATCAGGACATTTATATCCAACAGCTATAGTCAGCTTTCTAAAACTTTCATTTTTCTGATGTTATAATATTTATGATTTGTCCTATGTTCTCTCCTTTGACATGTGGTTCAAACATTTTATTTTGTCACTGAAGTTTCTGCTTTAATCTAAGACTGTAAACAATAATTTTACAGTGAGATTTATCTTTGTAATCTTCTGTTTCCATCAAATTTTGAATTTATTTTCAATGAACAGTGACTAAAGGACAGTTATGTTCATACTAATACTTTCCTCATGATGTATACAATGACAGGCCTGTAGGAAAGTCTGTGTAATTTCTTATCTCAGTGAAGACTATCAAATACACTAGAGAGATTATTTTTAAAAAGATGTATCATGCAGTGTCATCTAAAGTGACAGTGTAAATACTTGTTAAAATAGTGAGGAAGATGTCAATGTTCAAGCTTAAGCACTATATCCAGAATCGCTAGTTATATTGACACTAGTGAAGTGTTTTATTGCCCCATGGCATTTTTCTTATCACATTAATTCCCATGAAATATTAAGTGTCTTTTTGGTGTCTTTCCCTCCCTCTCTCCCTCCTGCCCTCCTTCAATGGCTCTCTCACAGTATCTTCCATCAGTCTCCAAGTCCTGTGATTTTGAGTGCTGCCTTTATGGTGTGCCTCCTTTCAGATGTGCATCTTGGTATGGAAACTTGTTACTGTTACATACCAGTTTGTAGATGTTTGCTTTTCTCTTCCTTTTTCTATCGGTAAAGCTGGTACATTATGATGTTTCTATTTTTCTTCAGTACATGCACTCAAGTGGATTACTGTGTGTTGGAAGTATTAACATGTAATGCTGTTCCTTGTGAATGTAATTCTATGAAAATCATGCACAGGTGTGCACATGTGATAATAGTTAAAACAGTATCATATGTTTCTGTTCTTAGTATTTGATTCTAGCATTTTTATAAAAATCAGTGTGTTGAAGGATGGGGACTTCAAAGCAGTTTTCTTTTTTAAAAGCAAATACCACTTTGTTGTGTCTTGTTGATTAGAATGCTGCATTGGTATGTTGCTGTCTCCCATAAAGTATTTAATTAGGCATGCACAAGGACTTGCCTCTTAAAAAGTGCCTTCTCAGATAAGCAAGACATGCTGCCATAAAGTATAAGAGAGTTATTGAAAATAAGCCCTTTATTCTGCCAGTGTGCATGTGTTAACTTAGCCCCAGGCTGCCCTGCCCAGCTGTATTCCTAGACCACTGAGTGAAGGAGGATGAAGTCTGCAACACTGTCATTGCAGCAGGAAGTATTTGAATTTCTGGTGTGTAATTACTCATTACAGTACAAACAGCACACTGCAATTTAGCAATATTTTATGCTAGAGAAAAAATGGGTGGAGGTCTAAACATGTGGACAGTGTGGACGAGAGGTTATGCTCCTGCTGAGGGTTCATCTGCAGCAGAGCTTCAAATTTTTAGTAACCCATCTGCATAAAAATTAGCCTCTCAAGACATAAAAAAGTAATGAAATGTTTTTCTTCCTTTTATTTAATTAGGATCCTGTTGATCCAACAAACACTGTAATTGTGATTCGCTCATTAGTTCCTGGGGGTGTGGCCGAGCAAGATGGCAGACTTCTTCCTGGAGATCGGCTTATGTTTGTCAATGATATCAACTTGGAAAATGGCAGCCTGGAGGAAGCAGTACAAGCACTGAAAGGAGCCCCAGCAGGAACAGTTAAAATAGGAGTTGCCAAACCACTGCCTGTAAGGTTTTGGGATTTCGATGGGTACATTTCATGTTATTTAAGCTGGTACACGATGATCCTGACTTCTGCGTAGTCTTTCTATGCTCTGGGGTAAAGTTGGGTGATTCAAAGCATCCAGGAACTGTCTTTGACTGATTCTCATATCTTCTTGCATGTAGGCATGGACTTTGTAGTGTATGACTGGGGTAGCGGTTGCAGGACCTAGCACATGTCTCTTGCAGCTGAGAAAACAGCAAAGCATCTTGCAACCAGCGCAGTCTTTCAGGGCTGCAAGTTGCCAGGCATAATTTTGTACACTTTACAAGTCTGAATGCGTGAGATGGTGGCATAGTCAGTTTTTTGTGGTTTGCCTCGAATTTGCCTATTCGTTTGTTTTCCAAGTTATAGTACATATGCAGTCTTTGTATTTAGACTGCAGGCTTTATGTTTAAAGATTGGTGAGTAGTCTTCAGTTCGTATACCTCAAACTGGCTATCTTAATATAATCTCAGGCTTGGTTTTAGACTGTAACAATTAGAATGAGGTTGAAGAAGACTTAGGGTTACCAAGATAGCTTGTCAGTAAGGATGCTAGTGGACTGATGTCCCTAGTCAAATCAGTAGAACGGCATCTCTTTATATATACAAAGAAGACACCTTTCACTATATTTGTAAGCCCAGGTGCAGTCTTTAGGTTTCATTTTTGCTTTTCATGAAATGATAATCTTGTAATCCTTTTGGATGCAGATAATTTTTCATTCTTAGTGGATCTTTGTGGAAAGGGTGGGAGGGGATCGCTGATATTTAAGTTACTAGAAACTTTTCATAGTAACAGGTTAGTTTTTCAACTTGCACTGTCAAATTTGTTTTTTGTAGTGGAGACTCTATGTTACACAATAAAATGTCTTGCAAATCAACAGTTTCATACTTAGGAAGATGTCACTTTAGATTGAGAGAAAATGCATAGGAGTTTTCTTTCTCTTCCCAGAATTTTGCAAACATTGAGCATTTGCACTTTAGTATTTCACATATTTTGCTTGCCAATTAATTAAACACCATGAATAGTGATGGGCTTCTTTGCAGTACTGGATGAATGCACCTAGCATTAAATTGTGTTGGGAAAAGCTACTTGTTTATGTTTTGTCCTCTTGAGGCTGTTCAACCCAGCAGATACAGCCTTAAAACACAGACAGTGTTCCTGCCTTCTAACAAGATTACTTCTGCATCTAGCAAGGTTTTAAAGTCTCTGATGGCAGTTTTAGTATATGTTTAATAAGAGCAGAAATTGTGAATTGGTTTAGACTAAGCTGTGAGCTCTGTGGTATAGCTGGATAGGCTTTATTCGTTACTTAGGGATGTAAAAAGAAATGTGAAGCATCAGGTAAATTTGAAAAAAAAATTGTCTCTACCTACCCAACACTGTGACTGTGAGTGAAATGAAAGCTCTGCTGTATTATAACCGTCACACATAACACAGTCTGCATGCCCTGTGTCCTGGCCACTCATCCAACCCAGAGCTTCATTCTTTCTGTAGCTTTCACTAGAGGAGGGCTATGTCTCTGCTAAGGAAGAGTGCTTTTTCTACATTGCCCAGTCACTTGAGGAGGAGGGGCCAGCTGATACAGCTCTCTTTCATGCTGAGCTGGCTCTGGCTGGTCGCCTAACTTAACACAGATTTCTTAGGTCTGCATTTTGTAATGAAAGGAGTTGCTTTGTCAGTGTTTGTGCTTATTTTCTCATGTTTACTGTCACCACATTACTCATCCACCATAGTTGCGATGGATCACCACATGGTAGAAACTGGCATCTAGAGAGTTTGGCTGTTTGCATGATCTGTGAATTTGGCCTGTGATATGTTAGTTGCTGGATAAACAGGAATTATTTTGCTGAGATTTCAGAAGTGTGTGGCTACGCACTTCTCCTTGCATGCACAGAGTATCTCTTTGAAAATCTTACCTTGTGTAGAGAAATGTTCATGTGCTTGTTTTGTAAACAGATCTCTTTGCCTTTATATCATAATAAATCACTTCTCTGCATTTGAAATTTTTTTTAACTCTCTTTTTGCATGTAAACCAGCCTTAAAAGGATTGCTCTCTGTCTTCAAAAGCTGCCAGTGCTTCCTCCTGATAGAATTCTTTAGTCTTCAGCATCAATCAGTGATTATGAGATTTGCAAGGTCAAAAGGTGTTCATTTGTACAATGTGCCTTACCTGAGCATTCAGTGTCTTACATAACCCAGAAGTTACCAGTAGAACCCAGATAAAAAACTTAACAAAAAAACCCCAAAAACCCCACAAAAACCAGAATATTAATATATTCCAAGTGTACCTTCTCAAGGTTATTTGTACTGATCAAGGCCTGATACTGAAATTATTTGATCCTCATATTCTGGGGACATGACTAGGGAAGCCATTTCTACTAAACATCAGAGCTTAATTCATTCGGAAAAAATCAAAACCAAACAAAAAGCTGAAATGTATTCTTCAAAGGCAAGAATCTCTGTATTACTGATTCCAGTACATTTGCTATTTTTTCCACATTTGCAAAAGACAAGCTGGTTTTATTAACTTGCACTTAAACAAGACTACTTGTGTTTTCTTCTGCAGTTTATTTCCTTGTATAGGATTTGCCTTATTCTGTTCATTGAGAAGAAGTATGAAGAAGCCAGGTTACAGATTGTAAATATCTTTTCATTAAAGATATCTTGAAAAGGTCATATTAAAACTTAAGTATTTAAAAATTTTACTTTTATCTGTGATTCATACAAAAAATTAAAATTGTGAAAGGATAATGAAAAAACATGGCACATAATAATTTGATTAAATTGTTGACTCTGTCAGCTGTCTAATTAAATGTGCAAAATATGAAATAGAATGTGCAATCATCCAGTTGAAGATGAGTTTGCAGAGTGCACTCATGAGATACTGTTTTTCATAGATAAATCTACACTCAGATTCTACAAGTCTGTCCCCGTTTTTCACAATCTTTGTTTTTAGGGCATAGCTTTGGTAACTTTACTCTGTGTTTTCCAGAAAATGGGCTTGGAGTAAGTTACACCAAAGAAGCAGTTTGAATTAGCTGTTAAGTCTTTAAGGTTGAGTCAATAAAAAAATGGATCATTTGTACTCCAAAGAGGGATCAGTATGTTGAATCACTGCATATTGTTACTATCGCTGTTGCGAATCTGACATAATGAATTCACGGTATGATTAACCACAGAAGCTGAAAATGACATCTAGATCCCGTCTCTGCAGATGGGTACACTTGGCTGTTTCATCAAGTTTAGAGTATGATCATGACTTTGAACACACTGATCATTTTTGTCAGAATACACTTCTTTCTTGAGCTCTACCAGGGGAGATGAAATTATAATCAAGGTATAGTATGTGAAGCACCATAAATTAAGTCTAATAGGACTTATTTTTTTTCTAATATTTGAAAGAATGTGAGTCTTGAAAAAAATATATTTCATTTGAGAAAAAAAAATACTGCCCACGTCCATGTCTGTAACTCTTTTCTAAAATTTTATTTCTCATGTAAGACAGGAGAATTGTCCATATTAATCATGTTCATAATTGCTATTTTGGAAATAATAAAAAAATAGTGTCATAAGTGTTTCTTATAGATGTATTGGAAAGGATTGGAAAGTTTCAAGATGATTGGTTTTTGTACCCTTTTAAATTAAAACAACCTTACCTATGAGATTGAATGGAAGGAACACCCCTGACAGGTGGCACAAAGAGAAGCTCATTATTTCTTCAGTGCTAATTCTTGTAAAAGAAAATTAGAAAGGGAAAAAAAAATCCCTGAACAAATAAAAATTTTGATGCTAGGGAGTACAGCAGAATTCTCTCAACACCTCATGCTTCTATTAACAGACATCAGCGTGCCTCAGCCTTGCAAGTCATTCCAGTTTGAGACTCTATTTCAGATATTCTTTGCAACCTCTGAAGCTGTAGTAACACGAATTGTAACTGGAACCAGAAATTCTTCCTGCTGTGCTGTGCGAATATAACTTCAATGTTAAATGTGGAGGGAAAAAGAAAAGAAGGAACGTATCAGTCAGAGTGTTGCAGCTGAGGTGCATGTGTTTGGGGCTTATGTGTAGTGAAGGTAACAGCCTGGCTGATTGAATTGCTTTTGTTGTTAGGTGGACTCCGGCGAGGCAGACCTAGGGGATGAGTCCACATTTGAATCGGAGTATTCTCTAGCGGGTGACGTCTTCCAGGCTTCAGTGGTATCTCTGCATGACAGTGCCTGTAGCGGTGAGCTGAACTATACCTTCTCTATTCCATCGACAATGCGCAAGGTAAAAAGGAGGATGGTTTTATTGATAACAAACTTTTAACATGTGTGAAAAGGCTGTATTATTATATACAAATGATTTATGTAATCCTGGTTCAAACTACAGTATTTGTTACCAAAGTGCAGTTTTGTTTAGGGTAGTGCTGGTGTTTCAGAAGTCTGTGTTGAAGAGAGAGGCAGCTAGAAGGTTGAAAGCCTGGTTTTGTGTTTTGTATAGGCAGATGAAGTATGGCGAGATGCTTCTGGTGTCAAAGCTGTGGTGAGCAGTCTGCTACAAAAGTTTAATTGTTACTACTTCAGAACATAGTAAAGGCTGGTAACACAAAATAACGTCATTATTCTACAGTATTTTAGGTATGAAAAGCAAGAGTAAGTCTTCATCTTAAGCTTTGCTTTTATACTTCATAGTTTTTTTAGTTTGCTAATTCATTTACTGTTCTTAAATGAAATGTTCATAGCGATACTGTAACTAAAAATACATCTGTACATATCAAGCCACTGATTGCTAATAATTCATATTTAAAGTTAGTAAGTGAAGGTAAGTTCTTTGAGAGTATTATGAAGATCAGTATCTTTTTTCTTGTCTGTCACATACCCATGATGGCTTGATTGCTTGTATCAGAGTTGGTGTTTTGTTTCTCTCCATAGTTTTTCATGCTCCTTTTTCTTGGCTATCTATAGATTTATTTCACTAATCCAGAGTCTTCCAAGGAATTTCTCCTGACAGTGATCTTTGAAAGCAACATGATATGGATTTATTCCAGAGTTTGCAGTCTGTGGTCTTGAACAGAGTAGCTGTTGCTTTTTCCTCCACACCTGAGCTGTAATAACTCCCTTTATCCCTTCTGGAATATATTTAGCCCTTACAAGGCACTGATTAGAAACCTAAATTCATCTAATGGTTTCTTCTAATCCACTGAAAAGCGCATCTCTGCTGTGCCGGTGGGACAGATTGTATTGTTTAACTCAATTGTTACTTAAATGGATTATGCATTTTGCATGCTGAGAAGCATTTTATGAGATAGAGGCTGAATTTACATTATATGTCACACTAAGCCTCTCGAGAGTCTTATTTTCAGCACTGACTGAAAGATAGCTTTCGTTTACATGCTTGTTTAAAGATTGTGGTCCTGACTTTCCAGTGTTCCTCTCTGTGCAGCACTATGAAGTGAGTATTAAGTTCTTATCAGGTAACATTTTATACTCTGCAGTTTTGAGTGAGTTCACAAAGTAAACATAGTGAGAAAATCTGTTCATAAAAGAAGACTTTTGAAGCAAGTGAAAAGCAGTAACAATGAAAAAGTGCTATTAGGTGCTATGAGGAATGCAGAGGTATTTCAACTATTTTTGACTGCAGGGCAATTGACAGGTTCTGAATGCCTTCATTACCACTTTTAAAATAGATGATGAAAAAAACTACTTAAAGTCAAAGTAATGCAAATGCTCTGATGAGGCCACATGTTGGTGTAGTTACAAATTCTTGAAATCCTGTTTGTCTTCAGAAATTACAACATGAGCTTTTCTTTAAGTGAAACAAATATGGGCATATGCTGCAACTGATATGTATGTATAGCATTTGGAATAAATGTTGAGTACAATCTGTGTCTTGTTTTCACTGATTCAGAAATGGATACTAAGCAGTCTTAAATGTTGATGTCACATTTCTTTGAAAACTAGTGAAATTATTAGAATAGATTATAGTCCTAGTGTTCTGTTCTGCAGTAAGTAGGAAATTATTTCGTCGATTACATCACACAGATTAGGTATATTAAGGCTTTGCTTAATTATCTTCTCAGATTTTGCTTAAACCAGTTATTTACAGGTTAATGCTTTTTGTTGATTGCCTGGGAACAAAGCAAGCACGTATGCACTTAATGAAAGATGAGAAAAACTAATTGTAAGGGCCTGAATTCAAAATGTTGCAGAATATCCCAAAATCCTGGGAAACATATTTTCCCCACTTTTTGGAAAAGAAATAGAAGAATTATTAGGACCAGTCGATAACAACTAAGACAGACGGGGGTAGATGTTCTTATGATTACAATTACTACATGTCAGAGAAAGAATCCTAATATTGATACAGAGCCTCTATGTCTGTCTAAGTCCTTAATGTATCTTTCTAATATCTAATGGCCTACATGTTTTTAAAATTACTTATTTTGAAAGCTCAGATAGAAAATATTGTAAGTTTTGTTTTGTTTTGTTTTTTGTTTTTTCTAAGAAGGCTGTGATTATTGAAATCCCTTAAATTATTTGAAATGTAGGACCTTGGAATCTTGAAAGTCTGAACAAATTTTGTGTAGAGAACATAGTACTAGTACTGCAACTGTAATCAGTACACTTGCAGTAAGTACTAACTGCTAAGCATGTGTAAGTGCATTAGTTTATTCTGTTGTCATAGTTCAAAACCTCATTTCATTTTTTGCTGAGATTTGACCGAGTTTTTACTTTTCCATGTTTGTGTGGAAGGGTTATCTAAATACATTTCTACTCCGTTAAATGCTTAATGTGCATGCTTATTGTCTGGACTGCTTGAAATTGCTGTTTGCTTGCTAAGTGTTTTGAAAGTGAAGACCTTGTTCTTGCAAAGTTCTTTTACCTGAGAAAGACAATTGGATTCTTTAGTAACTTGCTGGAGTTATGTGTAGTTTGACAGTGTGTAAGTGGACATTACTTTGCTGAAGTCAGTGGAGATTTATTGAGGAGTACCAAGTTAGAATTTGCCCTTCAGCAATACCTTTATTTTCGTTGATTTCTGGTATTTTAAAACAGAAGAAATTGTCTGAGCAATCAAGTAAATTTTTTAGTGAAATGCCTGTAGGGATCTACTGAGGACATTGATATTAGAATAAATATGTTTAAATTCTGTGAGATTAGTTTCTGTTTAAGATTTTCGCATGAAATGTTCTTTTAAATTACACTACAAAAGAATGTTGATTGTTCATTGTCTCCTATGTTTGACAGTCTGTTGGAGAGGAATGTTCAAGTGATGAAGCTGATTTCTATGTATCTGACAAGAATCTGTACAACATGGATCTGGATCAGAGCGTGAGAGAGCAAAAGTCTGTAGTGGGCAATGGCCTGAAAACCACAGCTGATTTTACTAAAAAGGATCTTCTGACTGTGGTTGTTTCGGATATCAACCAAAATGAAAGTGAAAACACAGCAACATGGGCTGGATCTCAGGCAGCAGCAGAAACTGCACTAAGTACAAGCCTTGCTACTACCACCCAGCTAGATCCCACTGGAAAAGTAAAGATTTTTTTTTTAATAACAGTTAGAAAAACCTGCAGAAAGGCCATATTAAACCCCATATTAAATTAATCTCCCACAGAAATTGACACTGGCCAACAGCCATGTATTTTTCTTTGAATATAAATGTCTGTCAGATGTGGTAGCTCACATCAAAAGTTATGGATTTAGGCCTATCCATAAAGGAAGATAATTTATGGTGTCAAGATAGTCATCTCCCAGAGACTGGTGATACAGGGTTATATAAAAGTCTGCTCATACTTCACAGTGGTAGACATTGCTGGACCACAGTGTACCTGCTGGGCAGCCCAGGGACTTTCCATATTCCCTGTTAACCTCTGTAGAGATGTGGGCACAAGGAGGAGGTGCACAGCTGGAAACCAGGCCTGGGAAGCCAAGGGAGAGAGGTGTGAAAGACTTGCCTCTTGGTGTTCCTGTAAGCCTGTGAAGTTCAGCTCACAGAATGGCCTGTGATGTCACAACATGCAAACCATATTTCTTTATATCAGTCACTGTGACGTGTGTTTCTTTTTCATTCCATTCAGTGATTTATTAAGAAATTCTTAAAACGGCTGCAATTTCTTACTAGAATTGTTGCTTTAGCACTGGCAGATTGTCAGACATCTGTGGTGAGCAAGTCTGAGAGCCCTTGAATTCATCCCACTAGTTTTGAGAGTGTAACCAATGTCCCAAAATCAAAAGCATACTTTGTGGTAGATTTGCTGTATTACGTTACTGAAAACAGAAACTTCATATATGTCAGTTTGATCTTTGAGGGACTGACTTTTCCAATGCCTGTATAAGGAATCTCTATTAATTATGCACCTAGCTTTTGTATAAAGTAAGATGAGTTTAGGTCAGTATGTCCAATTGTATTTTTATCTTGGTATTCTGAACTGATGTTATTTTCCCTTATGTTAGGATCAAGCGCTTTTAATGGAAAAGAGATGCCCGGTATCTTTGGAGGAAAGTTCCACAACCCCAAATTCAGTCCAAAACATGTGTGAGAAGACTATCACTATTGCAAAAGGCAATTCAAGTCTAGGTAAGGTAGCTAACATTTTTTGTAACCTGTTCAGGATTATGGCTTTCTGTTTTTCTCATTTGTTTCCTGTTTTGTTAGTAGAGACTAAATATTTTTCTGCTGGTGTGGAAGCTACATATTAGTACTTGCATAGTAAGTATCTCAGTGTTTCTGAAAATTAGACCGTTGATGCATTTAACAGATAGTATTTTTAGCTCAATGATATTATCATTTTGTAGAGAATTTCACAGCTTTAAATATCTGCAGTCTGTAACTTTGGAAACATAACGACTAGAGGTACATTTTGGAGTCAACAGGCACAACAGATGGAAATGTTTTTCAGAGTCCTGTCCTGGTCTCTGTTGCGCAGTGTGAGAGGGAACACAGGAATAGCATCCTTCCAGGCCAGTTCCTAGAGCTGGCGTGGGGGACACTTTTTTGGTGGGAGGCAGTGGTGCTCCCCTCCTGTTTGTGGCTGGTGTGTTCATTTACTTTGGTTTAGGTTCCTGGTGCCGTTTCTTGTGGCCAAACGCACATCATTGAAGACTCTTTGGTGTTGGTAGCGCGGGAGTCTGTGTGGGTGCTGACTATTTGCACTGACTCTGCAAGTGCTTTAAGATGAGTTGTCCACAGAAAGCACCCTGAAAGCAGCCCATTGGCACCATCTTCATTAGCAGCCACCACTCAGGTCTCCTTTCTGTGCAGAGCTGAGTGGGATGCTGTGATGCTATCATTCAGTGGGTGCTTCCACCTGGAATAAACTGCCCTCTGATGGCTGGATGCTCCACCTGCTCCATATCGCCTTTGTGATATAGCTAGCCTCCAAACTGGATCAGGAACTGATTTGGTTTAAAATCAGCCATCCCAAAACATTAACCTGTAGGCAAGGCTGATGTGGGTACAAGTTCTGGCTTTCGTTGGTATGAGGTACTTGGGTAACTATTGTCTTTACTGGCCTCATTGACAGGCTGTGTAAGCTGCAGATCACAGTGCAATTCCAGGCATTTGGGTTTTGCTAAAAAAATTTTGTTTGCATTAACGTCTTAGTTCAGTGGAGCAGTTTTTAATGTATGTCTATGAACATGAAGTACGTTGGCAGTGCAGTGAACATACAAAGCAAATACCATGTCAAGCATAACACAGCCTAAAAATACAAACTTGGAGCAGGGCGTGAAGAGTAAGACTGGCCTCTCATTTATACACAATATGAATGAGAATAATGCTTTCTGCTGGCTTTTGACCATAGTCATTTTCTTCCAGAGTGTGTGTGCTCTGGCTGGGAATCTGCCTGGCCACAGTGACCAATTTACACACACGGCTGCACTGCTTTTAACTTTCATTTTTACAAAAGGAGCTAAATCAGGAGCTGTGAATGATGAAAGCTGCAGCTGCATCAAATATTTCAGATGGGAACTAGTGCTTCTTTTTTCCTTTTAAATGGTGTCATCCGTAGCTTGCAATAGCTCTTCAAATCCAACCACAGCTGAAACTCTAACCTTTTGATTATGATTTTTAAAAGGTAAGAGGATGGAGCACCTACATGCAAGAAGAGATGAAATGCCATTGTCCTGTGTGATTCATTTGGCATCTCGACAGTGGCATTTGCATTTTTAACCTGAAACTGTAGCTGTCCAAAATGTGACATCAGCCTTGAAGATCTGTTGTAATGGGAATGTCAGCATGAAAACTAGGGGTGATATTTTTCTAAAGTACTATTACACTAGCCTCAGCAATACTGTTGTTTGTTACTGGCTTAACCAAGCAGCAAGGTTACCTTCAGAATTTCAAAGCACATTTCAGCTGTTTCCTTGGCAGTTTGCTTTTCTGTGCATGCTGCCTGTATTCTGGTGGAGACCACTCTGTAGCAGTGTTGTGTTTACATTCAAATCTGAGTCACCTCTGTGAGCGTACCTGTCAAAAGATGGTTGTTGGAAGAAGTATGCAAGTGTAAACTCTGGGGCATCCACCCCAGTATGGCATCTGTAAAATGCCATTTGTGATGTGCTCAACATTGTAACGTTACAAATCTAAGGGCTAGGTGACAGACAGTTTAACTCTGCTTTTTCTGATAGCAAGGCAGTAAATCAGTGCTGCTGTGTGTCTGTATCACAAGTCTGATCACTGTTCCAGTGTGCGCTTCTCTTCTGTGGCTTGCAGACTGCTCCAGCACAGGCTTCCCACTGACTCACGACCTTCTTTGGGCTCAGTCACCTTCTCATGTGAATCTCCAGTCTGCCATTGAATTTCCACAGGTTGCAGGGAGGTCAGCTTGCCTTCTCACCATGGGTTGCAGGGGAACCTCTTCTCTGGCGCACCTCCTCCCCTCCTTTCTTCACTGGTCTTGGTGTCTGCACAGTTGTTCTCCTCACAATCCACTCCTCCCTCTGCTGCAGGTTTCTTCTGCTGGGTTCTGAAGTGTTCCCAGCTCTCATAGGCTGGGACTGGGCATGGACTGGCCCAGCCAGGTTGGGGCCATGCCACCTGTGCTGGGAGCACACTGCTTGGGGCTTTGGAGGCCATGAGCTGCACCCCTCTTAAATACATCATTTACAGAGGTGCTGATTGGCTTGGCCTCAGAGACAAATCCAAATTGGAGCCAGGGTAGCTTCCAGCAGCTTCTTACAGAGCTCCCTCTATAACTGCTCCTCCAATAGGGAAAAAAAACCAGAACAAAAACAAAACAAACCCTCACAGAAACCCAATGCAGTCCTAAAAAGCACAGATGTATATCCAGATTAGTGATGTTCTTATAATGGATACAGTATATTTTTTTTCTCTGAGGCAGATATATAGGCAGATGTTTGCATGGTTGGCTGAGTCTGGGTAGCCTGGGGCTTACAACTGCCCTCTGAACTCTGTTCAGTCAGAGTCTCCCATGGTCTAAGGTCACAGAGTAAAGCATGCAATCTCTGTCTTCTGTGGCCATGTTTGTATATAAATGCTTAGAATTTTTCATAGTTGGCATCCTTGGAGGTTTTGCTCTGGACAGCTATCATCTTTGTCCATTCACAGTCTAGACAATAAAGTAAGGGCTTGCAGACACACACAGCTGCACTCCAAGTGCTTGCTAGCCTGAGGTTTACATGCAAAACCAGGAGAATACGTTGTAAGGTAGTCACTGCCTCCTTCTCCAATAGATAGTACTCCATAAGCACTCTTAATTCAGTAGCTTCATCTTGTGCACAAAAAAGAATAAAAATTAGTTTGGCAGTATTAATATTCACCCAGTGGATTTCCAGGGTGCTAGCCCTTCAGCTACCTTTCCACTGCTTCAGTGAAGACACATTCTTTCTGGAATGGTTGTCAGGGTTGATTTCATGAGCACCAACTGACCTGAAAAGAACAGTGACAACTCATGCATGTAAGAACAGTCACAGAGACATGTGAAGCCCAGCACCACAAATTAGTCCCCCATAGTGAAATGGACATGTGGGAGGAGGGGAAAGATCATCTCTCTCATTTTCCATAAGTGAGAAGAAGGTGGCATTATATGATGTATATAAACATTGAGAAGTGTCCTTTTGTACCACAGGTGGGATCCTGATGTAACTCAAGTAGTGGATTGTATCCATCAGTAGTGTGTGGGCTCTCACACAAGTCAAAATGCTCTTCTGGGGCTAAGCGATGGCCTACCTAGAAGAGTGAGAAGGCAGCCACTATCTCGCTGGGATCTGGTCCAGGCATTCTGTTGAAAATAAACATGCTTTTATTTCTCCTATTCTCCTAGTTAACTGTTTAATCATTTCACCTCATTTCCAAAGAGAACCATCATAAACTAAACTGAAATGTGGTGTATTAATTCAGCGAACCATCCAGAAGAGTGGTAAACTTGACTCTTTTAGAAGCAAAGATACTGTGATTGTGATATTTAACTGCTGACTCCTGTTGGAAAGAAGGAAATACAAGGGAGAATAAGAGCAACCTTTATAGGTTTGTTGACATTGGCAGGTCAGCTGACTGGCTTTTACCTTCCCTGCCTCAGGTTACATTTCTTTCCCTTGGCACTGAGGACTGGGGCTCAAAGATATTAACTGTTTCATGCATTTTTCACTATAGGGATGACAGTAAGCTCCAATAAAGATGGCTCAGGAATGATAGTCCGCAGTGTGATCCATGGAGGCTCTATAAGTCGTGATGGAAGGATTGGCGCAGGGGACTGCATCCTGTCCATTAATGAAGAGTCAACCACTAACTTAACCAATGCACAAGCCCGGGCTATGTTAAGGAGGCATTCACTTATTGGACCAGATATAAAGTAGGTAAAGCTAGATGATGAATTGTGGTAGGACGAGGCTTATAATCAAAATTTGTTTATTTATTTATGCAAGTATTCGAAATGAAATTTTTTTTTGTTTTTACAAGATTAATTTACCTGTAAGTTCACTTGGATAATTTACCTTCAGATTACAGCTTCATAGATTTGAAAGATAAAATCACTTGTGTGAGAGGCTTTGAATTTTCTTAGAAAAGTTATTACTGTCATTAGTAATCACCATCATTACTGCCTTGCCTGATTTTAATGAAGGAATGGGATTAGTCAGAGTTTTGCATTCAAAGCATTATTTTTCTAAAGAAAGGAAGGATTTCCTCAAGGTGTTTGTGTTTCTCAAAGGTGGATTTTCCTGGCCATTGCACAAGTGGTTTCATTTGATGGAGATCTTTGTAATGGATTTTGGTTTTGAGTGCCAGACAGAAAGTATGACACATGATGTTAATGCAGAAAAGTAATATTTAAAACATTTTCAGTACATCTGTTACGAAGAGCAGAAACAGTCTATTTTGTGAAGTTACTTCCAAGTTTTTATTAGTACATAATGAAGCAGTTCTTTCTCTAGTGCGTAAGTATCTGCTCTTGGGAGTACTCCTTTAAACTGGCAGTAGTTAATACAGGTTTTGAAAAATCTACTTGCTTGATGAGAAAGTTTCTTCTTCTGAAGTTCACTTAATGTACAGAATTTTAACGTTCCTTAAAGGGGAGTTCTTTCTCACTGTCCTGGTTGTGGAGTTAACTTTGCCTTCATGTACCATCTGAAAATGAGGTGATTCTAAGCTTGTGAATAGTAGTCTAAACACACCAATGCTTGATTTACAGCTTCAAAAAATATAATAGCCGTGTTTCTCAAACTCATGGTAACATGGATTGGGCCATATCTGCGAATGGGATTAATGGAGTTGTTAGTAATAGAAGCATCTATTTATCTAAGATGGTGACCTTGAAAGGGACCAGTTCAGTCCCAAAGTGGTTGCAGGTAACTCTGTGGTGTCTGTCAGTTCAAAATGGACTGCGGGGCTTTCCATTCTTCCCGAGAAGTGTTATAACCTTGAAGAGACCTGGCGTTTTGGGAACAGGTAGGCCAAGTGTCTTCACTGTGGCTGGTAGGTTTAACTGTCTGTCCTATAGCTGTCATGCATTTAGGATTATGATTTAATGCAAGCTTGTTTAAATAATGGAACATGCTCATATAATGAATTACATTATTGTCAGTGCTATAATGCATATCAGTGAGTCAATATTGATAAAATGTGACATTGATTATTATTGTAAGCTTTCAGACTGTATTATGATTCTGACTGTCATGACTGAAATCAGTTGGTATGTGTGCATGCATGTGTGTGCTTCTGCTTAGATACACAAACATTACAGCACCGTTCTTCTGTGAGTAGTCTTTTATTAGTGCTGTAGTTAGATGATCAAACACAGATGTATTCATTATTTGTGCTTATCCTTCTACAGCTGCTGCATTTTACACTATGTGACTGTAAATTCTCTTTCGTAGTCTTAGTCTTTTGTCAGAAATACTAGAATCTTGTCTTAGACATGAATATTCAGGTTTTCCAGAGAAAAGTACATTCCCTTTATGAAAGATCTCACAGAGAAGAAGCAGTTGCTATTCATGCTTTCACTTAAGATTTTTGTCTTTCATTTTATGTTTATGTTCTTCGTGCATTCCCATGATAAGGGCTTACTGGTTTCTGCACTTCGAAGAACTGAAAGACCAAATCCTTTTGTAGCTTCTAAAGGAGTCTTGCAAGAATAAAGACAGTATTTTGGGGTGTACATAATTTTGATACAAAATTATTTAACGCAATTAAACTTTTCTGTAGTTTTTCTAATTTCTTTCAGGGGCAGTACAGGATACCAGAAAAATATTATGCTATAAGCATATGAGTAGTGTCTCAGATCAGAAATTTGGAGATATGCAGCATTATCTTACAGTAGTTCTTCCTATTTGCTGAGAGGGGTCCACTGCTATATAGATGTCATTTCAGAGCTAATGTGGTGCACCACCATGCAGGATTTGCGATTTAAGGGCCAGTATTTCAAATAAGCATGTTGAATCTCCTTGGTGTCTTCCTTGGGAAGCAAGGGTGTACAGGCACTCAAGTGTGGCCATTGTGATATAATTTCTCTTTATTTGTACAGAGCTGCAAAGTTGACACTAACTTTTAAACTGAACTTTCTTCTGGGTAGCAGAGTGCCCCCCAAAAGTGATTAAACAGAAATATTTTAATGTCAAAGCTGTGTTTCAGTGATAATCATGATTTGCTGAGAAAACATGAAGCTGTTCTTACTTGCCACATAAAGGCTTTGTTTTATTTTATTAAAAGAATTTCAATTTTAAATTGTTCAAGAACCAGCAATCTGAGTTTCAGACTTAGGTATTTAATTTTTTTCTTTTTGCGTGTGGAAAACCAGATGTGTGGCCTTACCAGAATGCATTCTGTTTCATTCCTCATTCCACCTTGCCAAGAACTCTTCTGTTTCTGTGATAATAGCCAGAGTTTTGTGCTCAGCAGCAGCTGCTTGTAACATCTGTCAGATAATTACAGAGCTGAATCAGAATTCACCTGCCTAAAGTGTGGAATGAATTCCTAATCAAGAAATAAAAGACTGCAATTCCATTTTCCATGCTTGTTTATAATCACTGCTATAGACAGTGATAAAGAGCAGATGCTTTCTGGGGGAGGTGTACATGCAGTGGAGGTAGAATGAAAAAAGAAAAGGAGAAAGGAAAAAAAAAGCAGCTCACACTTTTAACTACATAAGTATGCCTCTCGCATTCAGCATGGGACATTGACGTTTGTTAACACCATTGTAAAAAGATGCTGCATCATATGCTTCACATTCTAGATCTTCTCCAGCACCTGCTGATGATCAGGCCCTCTTTTATGTGTGAGTATTGGCGATTCAGAAACTCATTATGGCTCTATGTTGCAACTTGTCTGTAAAATCATTCCATGCTTTTATGACGTCCATAGTAATGTCAGGGATATATCCAGATATAGGTACATACTCACTCTCTCTTTTTGTGTATGCATGCACATGTGGCTGTGTATATATTTTTAAAAAAAAGTATGAGAGTGTGTGTGTGGGTGTATATATCTTCAAACTTGACGATTGGAGCATACTTCCTGAGACTGGAATGAAAACACCTGTATTCTAAAAAAGACTGGTAATGTTTTAAATTCATCTATGACAGCCAACCCACATGTGGTCAGAGCACGTGTGTGCATGCAGGGTTCACTGCTAGAATTGACATGAGTATGATGTACTGATATCTGGATTAATCTCAGTGTCATATTTTCTGTGGCACTTACATTTTACTTTCTTTGTGTATAAAAAGTTTCAAATTAGTTCTTAAATGTTAATGACAGTTATTTGTCCTGAACATTTTCCATACCTTGTTATTTGGTTTGTTAGTGTTTCAAGGTTTTGTGTGGCTATTCAGTCAAGCATGTGATAAACGTTCCTCTGTACTGCATGTGGTGTTGTGTTTACAAGGTGTTTTCGTATGTACACCCTTTGGTGTTTCCGTTTTTGCTGCTTTTGTTGCTAGTGCATATCTCTGGGGGGAGGAGGGTGGTTGTAGCTCTCAAGAAATGAAACCAGAACACTTTCTCCTCCAAGCTGTACAGCTGTGAAAGAGAGGAGATGATTAAACCCTGCATATACTTTCTCTTTAAATTGTTGAACTTTTAAGTTCTTTTGCAGAAAAGAAATGCAACACAGTAGTAGAGCAGTCATTTACTTGTTTCCTGTTTTCTATGTCTCCATCCCTGTTTCCTGGCACTTGTTTGTCTTACTTTCTTCCCTGTGACCATATTAAGGCAATTATCAGTCCCTTTTGCAGATGAACCATTCAAGCGCTGGGGTGAATTTTTATTTGCGCTTCACAGCACAAGAGTCAACAGAGTTCACTAGAGGAGTCCAACACCCTTCTTTTTCTGGGCCCCTTATCACCCCAGTCACACACTGGATGATGCTGAATGTCTTCAGACCTCACTGTGACCTCCAAGAAGTGAGCTACAGTAGCAATCCAGCAAGTGATGGGTTTGATAACTGTGGAATATCTGCCCATGAAGTACTAAACAGGGAAAAAAATCTTGACGGATATAAATCCGAGGTCTTTAAGTACAGTTTGGCCTTGCTGCGTGTCACAGAAGACACGACCAGGACAGGTATTCACTTAGCAAAGACGACGTTCTAGTATACATGTTTCTTAAAACTCTAATTGTCAGCAAAGCTAGGTTTTTTGTTTTACTTTTCATTTCAATAACAACATGCAAAGGAGAGAGGGAAGAAGGACAGTCACATCAGTAATACAGCTTGGCTAATAAGATCAGCTAGGGAAGCCTTTGCAGTGAACTGAACTTTGGAAATCATGAGCAAGAAACAAAGGTGAACTCCTACACGGAAAATACCTTTGATCCATGTAATTTAGTTTTCTATGCTTTTATTTTTTTTTGCAAAATACAAGTGTTCTGTTTTATATTTATGAAGTAGCTGAAGCATTATTGAGGTTTAGTTGTAGATAAGAGTGAACAGTTAAAACATATTGAATTTTCCTTGTGAGTGTTTAAGATTAGGCAATTAGAACTGTAGTTAAGCACCAGAACAGAAATAATGTAGTTTTACAAAGAGCTAAAATGTAACAGCTCCCAGTGATACTATCTAAATTTTACTCCATCTGTGGAAATCAATTAGGTAATTCAGTTGTTTAATTTTAGATGCATTTTTAAAAGCGATGGAGTGAACCTCTCTTCTCAGTTCCTGTGCTGTACACAGAAAGGAAAGCTTACCTACTTAAGAGAGCTTTTGGGAGACGTTTGTGAGTAGTATGTAAGGCTGTTTGAGAGCAACTTTTGAGCTGTACCTTTTGAATGTCCCAGCGCAGTGTCAGTTACTCATTCATATAATGAAAAACACAGGATATCCCAAAAGTTGGAGTGCATATGGTTTGCCTCCCCTTTACCTGATGTCTAGCCCTGATGTTGGACAGAAGTATGAGGTGAGGACTGGTACTACCTTGGGACTCTGCATGATTTTACCATGTGCCCTTTGTACAAAAGGACTAGACAAGAGTTGAAAGATGTCAGACACTCTACAACTGGTGATCACGCTCTACTGTCTACATCCAGGCTGAATCTGAGCAAATCTGTTTCCTTTTGCAGGAGCCTGCCATTCTCCTTTCCATATCTTGAACAAAGGCTTCCCGCTGCAATTCAACATAAAGGAGATTGTCCAGGCCTTCTAGCCAGCAGAAATGTTGCTTGCAATTCTGGTTTCTTTACTGCAGCTATCTTTCAAGGGAAAAGACATTATTTCCTACTTACTTTTGTAGGGTGAACATTGATGAACTTGTTTGGGATTAAACTGATGAATGTAACTGGATGAATTATACATTTTCTTTCATTCAAATGCAGCTTGCACATCTTGTAGCTTTTGTAGAGGCAAGGTATTCTTACAGGCTTATTGAGTGGTGCCTCTGCCGCAGCATTTGCTCTGTGAGAGTTTTGTGACCATAATATAGTGGTCTAGTGCTATAGTTCAGTACATTTGGAGTTGGAGATAGCTGAGAATTAGTAGTGATTATTTTAAAAATCTCTTTTCCTTCTTGCTTCTCTCCATTTTACTACTAGGGCTTCGCAAGCTAACTGCTGTGTGTCTTGCATGTTTCCCAGTGGAATGCCCTCAGGAAAGACAGATGAGAGTCAGTGACTTTCTGCTGAGTCCTTGTTTCCTAGTATATGTTAACTAGCCAGCACTTCAGAGTGAAAACACTTCGTGTCAAGCACATAACACTTGTGTGTTTGGAAAAAGGCCAAAGCAGAAGAGGGAGGGTATTTAAGGAAAAGAAAAGAAGCTGGTGATAATGTGGATGATTTAGAAATTTCCATTAAAAGAACTGGAGAGTTATTCCTATTCAACACCCTAGGCACTTCCTTAATGACCATCTTTTGCACTTTTCTAGATACGATGTATGTGAGAGGAGGTAGGGAACATGCTTGGGGGCAGACATAGATGACAAAAAAAGATAGTCCTTATGCTAATTTTCATAGAGTGTTTTGGACAGACAGCATTAGTTATTTACTGTTTATTTGCTCTGCCTTCTGTTGCTTGTTATATTCAGCAGAAAACCAATGAGTGGTGGAATCAGTGGCAGTCAGGGAGTCATAGACAGAGGAGGACTCCGATCAGGAGTGGAAGACAGGAGAGGGATCCAAGTAAGTGAGAGACTTGGAGCTGGAGTCTCTCTTCAGCAGCTTATATGTCCTTGTGAAGTAGTCAAGATTTAATTTTTTTTTTACCCTGTCGGTTCTGTGGGGAAATATGTTCATATTTATTTCAACTGTGTGATGAATGATAGGCCAGCCGTTTTTTCGGTGTTCTTTTTCTGTCAGCGTTACTTCTTGACAGACTTGGATCTGATAGCTAAGTTGCTTATTGAACAACTAAAGGTTTTTAAGAAGGTAAAGCATAATTAAAAAGGGCCATCTGAGTAGCCCTGTTTAGATCATGGTGTCCTTTTGCCTGTAGAGGGAATTTTTAAAAGAAATGTCCTTCATCCCTTGATCTTAATTCCTTCTCTTTGTTTCCTCCTCTCCAGTCTACTGGACCATTTGTGTTTCTGACATTCAGATATGATCAGGTTACACCAGGGCTTCAGGAGTCTGCATGTCATTTGGCTGATGAAACATGACTGTCTGACTGTCCCCAGCTGGCTGGAAGTGCATGAAGGGGTGGAGGAAGGAGTTGAGCAGGGGATTACTCCCTGTGGCATAGTTGGTGTGCTGTAACATGTTTGTATGTCCAACACCATGCAGTATTTTTCACCAAAAGCATAGAAACCTAAAATAGATACAAAACCACACAGGAAAGCACAAATCCTCTGCAAGCCAACTTACAGAAGCATTTCCAGCCACTATTCAGGATGGTAATGGTGCTTCACACCTCACAAATCCTTCAGTGTTTGTCTTTGCACAAGAAATCTCTGCTTTGACTGAAGCTGGATTGTCTCTATTATACTCTTGTCCCTGTTCCAACACCATTTACTTAAAATGGAGTGACCAGCCCTCAGAAAATTATGTGCAGTTCAGCTACCTAATTCAACCATAAATGCATACTTACTGTAAAGTCACAAAATTTTCATGTAACTCCTTATTCCCAACATACCAGCACTGTGGCTATGAAGTCAATGACTATATGAAGTGGACTTGACTGACTCACTCATATAAATTCCTCACACCCACCAAAGGTAGGACCAGCAGTCCTCATGCTGCTTTAATCATGTCCCATTTTATTGCAGTATTACGTATGTGCCAGCAGAAAATTTAGACGAGTACAGGGCCAGTTTGGGACAACAGACAGAGGGAGCTGTGCCACTTGAAGTTTTTCCTTCACATACTCCTAGGTGAGTCAAAAGACTTTTAGTCTTTTCTCCCATAGGGCTCCCATAGGAAGATACATTATTTTATAAGAGGTGAAAGATGGATGATTTTCTTCAGACCAGCAGCCATTACAATAAAAAGCTGCTCAGAACACAATTTTTGCTTTGGCTAGCAAATTTTTCTGACATTTTTACAAGGCTGTTCTATAGCTTTTTGATTTACCCAAAAAGAAGATAGAAACTAAACTAAACTTTTCTTAAATACCATGTAATTTGAATTTTGTTTTGCCACAAATACTCAATGGTTTTGACATTGAATTTGGCATTGATGGTCTTTGCAGAACATATAATGGAAAGAATGAATTATGCTGTCCTTTTCCTTGAGTTTCAAAAATTCATTAGAGTTATAGACCAAAATACTCGAAGTGACTAATTTTTGTTTTCTTGAAATTATTCTCCAAAAGCAGTAACTGTTTTTGAATGCTGCTGTAATTTCTTCCATTTGGGACAAAATAAGTAATTACCTTCAGCTTTGAGTTGTCTCTTGTTCCAAAATGCGCAGAGTCTTTTATTCTGTGTTTTTCAGTTGATAGAAACTTGATTGCAGAGACAAGTGGACAGGGAATCCCCAAACAGAATATGTATTCTAACAGATATCTGAAAAAGAAGTTCCTTACTGCAAATTCTGATGCAGGCACAGTGATCCAATACATGAAACTTTGCAGTGAAACCTAGTGATTATGTGGATTCTTTTAAATTGTACATCTTTCTGTTC